TCACGGCCTGTGACAAATCTGGCCTCGTACACACCATCGCATACATCAAGCTACCTACTGCACTAGCATATGGGACCTTCGACATATAATCTCTGTCCTCAACTGAAACAGGTGACATCAACGCTGAAAGCTTGAAGTGGGGAGCCAATGGTGTGCTAACTGCTTTTGCATTGCCATCAAAGCTGAATTTCTTCAACATCTTCTGCAAGTAGCTCTTCTGTGTAAGCTTCAATTTCCCCTTCACCCTGTCTCGCTCGATCTCCATACCCAATATCTTCTTTGCCTCTCCAAGATCCTTCATCTCAAACTCGGATGATAACTCCTCTTTCAGCTTTCGAATAGCCGAAGAATTCCTGGAAGCAATAAGCATATCATCAACATATAAAAGCAAATATATGAGCTCACCATCCTGTAGCTTGTGCATATAAACACATGGGTCATATGGGCTCCTTGTGTACCCTCGGCCAATCATAAAGCCGTCGAATCTCTTATACCACTGTCTTGGTGACTGCTTCAAACCATAAAGAGACTTCTTCAGCTTACAAACCAAATTTTCCTTTCCTGCAGCTTTGAAACCCTGTGGTTGTGTCATGTAGATCTCCTCATCTAAATCACCGTGTAGAAAGGCTGTCTTCACATCCATCTGGACCAAATCCAAATCCAACTGTGCCACCAACGCCAATAAAATCCGAATCGACGAATGCTTCACAACGGGTGAAAATACCTCGTTGTAATCAATGCCCTCAAGCTGTGCATATCCCTTGGCAACTAATCTGGCTTTGAACCGAATGTCCCCAATAGAAGATCCCTCCTTCTTCGCATATACCCACTTGCAACCAATAGCTTTCTTACCCTTAGGTAGATGTGCAAGTGTCCAAGTGTCGTTCTTCTGAAGAGACCGCATCTCCTCCTCCATAGCTTCCCTCCACCTGATCGAATCGGGGCTAGACTCTGCCTCCCTGAATGTGGCTGGAACCATATCATCAACGACCTCCACTGATAATGCATATGCGACCATGACATCATTATACCTAGCTGGCCGACGAATCTCTCTCCTCGGTCTATCTGCTGCAATGGTCCTCTGAACATGACCCTGTTCCTGAGTCCCATGATCTACTGTATCCTGTATCTGCCCATCTGTCATCTCATCTCCTCCCAGTGTCACCTCTGTAGGAGCCTCAATGGATACAGTGTTCTCTGGAGTGGGTGGAGTCACATCATCCTCCACCTGCTGCGATATCTCTCCTGTCTGGTCTCCCTCCACCTGCTGAGGGGTTCGAGGCCTCATCATGTACGCCTCGTCAAATGTGACATCTCTGCTAATAACTATCTTCTTGTCCTGTGGATCCCATAACTTGAAGCCTTTGACTCCATCTCTAAATCCCACAAAGACTGCTTTCCTCGCTCTCGGATTTAATTTACCATCACTGACATGATAATAAGCTGGACACCCGAATATCCGAAGCGACTCATAGTCACTAGCCTCCGAACCAAACCAACGCTCCAAAGGAGTCTTCCCGTCTATCGCAGTGCACGGCAACCTGTTCACAAGATGGCTCGCATAAACCAACGCCTCGGCCCAAAAAGATCTAGGCAATCCACTCTGCGTCATCATACACCGCACCTTCTCCAGCAAGGTACGGTTCAATCTCTCAGCCACCCCGTTCTGTTGCGGTGTCTCTCGAACTGTGAAGTGTCTTCTAATGCCGTGATCCCGGCAAAACTGCAGAAACGGATCACTCTTGTACTCTCCACCGTTATCTGAACGTAGAGTCTTCACCTTTCTACCTGTCTGCAGCTCCACTTTCTTTTTCCACTCCACAAAAATATCCAGGACCTGATGTTTATGCTTCATCGGGTATACCCAATTCCTCCTGGAATAATCATCAATGAAAGTGACAAAATAGTTGGCCCCACCAAGAGATGTGTTCTTGGAAGGACCCCAAACATCCGTGTGAATATAATCCAATGTACCTTGGGTGTTATGAACAGCGGTGCCGAACTTCACTCTAGTCTTCTTCCCAAGTACACAATGCTCACACAATTCCATCTTGCAGGTCTTAGCACCTTTCAATAGCCCCTGTTTAGCCAATGACTGTAGGGACTTATCTCCTGTGTGTCCAAGTCTCATGTGCCATAAGGTGGTAGTGTCCTCCTCTGTAGTGATAGAAGCTGCCAGACCCCCTGTAACTGTCTTGCCCTTCAAGTAGTATAGGTAGTTTTCCCTGACACCTCGCATCACCACCATAGAACCCTTCGTGACCTTCACTGTAGCATCCTCTAAGATCACTCGATATCCTGCTGCCTCCAAAGTCCCAAGAGAAATGATGTTCTTCGTCAACTGCGGCACGAACCTCACTTCCTTCAATTCCCTCACTACACCATCATGCATCCTGATCCGGACTGAACCAATACCACCAATAGGGCATACGTGATCATTACCCATAAGCACGACATCCCCTCTTTCCAGCTCCTCAAAGCTAGAAAACCACTCCCTCTTAGGGCAGATGTGATATGTAGCTCCCGAATCCATCATCCACTCCGTGGAATCCGCATAGCAAACCGACGGTAAAGCAGGGCATGAATAGCCTGAAGAATCTGAATCTGAATGCTCACCAATAGCTTTTGCAACATTCACTTCTGAAGCTTGTGCAGCTTTCCCCTTATTCTTTCCGGCTTTTTCTTTCCACTTTGGGCAGTCAATCTTCCAATGTCCTTCTTCTTTACAATACCGACATTGATTTCTACCAACACTCTTATAGGCACTCCTATTCTTTGACTTTGAGCGGTTGAACTGACGACGGTTTGGATCTCGGCCTCGAACTGCTAACGCATCTCCCGATGCCTTCTCGGAGGGTTCACCATCACTCTTCCTCAACTCATAGTTCACCAAAGCTGAGGTCACCTCCTTGTAGCTAACTGTAGTTCTTCCATTGATCATAGTGAGAACGAACGTACCATAATCATCTTCGGGCAACGAACACAGAAGTAGCATCGCCTTGTCTTCATCCTCAACTATAATATCAACATTGGCCATATCTGAAAGTAGCTTAGTGAAATTGTTGACATGCTCCCTGATGGAAACCCCTCTCTTCATCTTGAACTGGTAAAATCTCTTCTTCAAGTGAAGCCGATTCTCAATGCTCTTCGTAAGGTATTTCTCATTGAGTGTTTCCCACATCTTCTTCGCCGACGTCTCGTTCATAACATCATAAATAAGATCCGGCGTCAAGCATGACCTAATAACACCACAAGCTCTACTGTTCATCTTTCTCCAAACCTTATCCTCCAACTCAGCGGGTTTCTCTTTTAACTCAAGAGTCTCCTCCAAATTCTGTGCATCCAAAGCATCCATCACCTGACACCTCCACAATCCAAAATTGATCTTGCCATCGAACTTCGGAACATCAATCTTCGTGTTATTGATGCTCAGACTCTGTATCGCCTTTGTTAGAGACGAACCTGACGTGCTTGCATCTCCCATGTTGTCGATCTAGCTCTGATACCAATTGTTGTGCGCGGTGGAAGCTTTCTAGGGCAACACGAACAATAATTCGAACTAAACCACAAACAATATGCAAACCACAATCACAGAAAGAACACACAATTTACGTGGTTCGGCAAGTTGCCTACGTCCACGGGGCAAGGAGGAGGGAGTTCTTTCTACTAGAAATCAAGAGAATACAAATAGGGTTACAAATCTCTCAGACCAAACCCTAAAACAAAGCTCTAGATCTCTCAAAGCTCTCTCACGGTCGACCGGACCGGTCGACCGCGATCAATTCCGGTCGACCGGCCCGGTCGACCGATCACCATCCAGCAGAAGCCCCAAAAATCCAGAGAGCCGTCGGTCGTCCGCACCGGTCGACCGAAACATCTGCGGTCGACCGGGCCGGTCGACCGACCTCCTTCCAGACGCACAGGAACCCTTGTGCACGAATCCGGTCGACCGGACCGGTCGACCGCCGCCTGTTTTTCCTGATTCTGCTGCTGATGCTGAAATTCCTTCAAGGTGTGCCCCAAGGTGTGGTTGGTGATGTGCCTGTAGTGTCACCCTTTGTATTCAATATTTTGGGTTGCCAGATAAATAAACTTTGTATTTTGGGTTTGTTGGAACACATAACCATGTGGGTTTTCTTGTAAATGGGAGTAAGCCTTCGGGTGTACATAAGCAGAAAACGCTACAAAAATCAAGACTCTGCCTCCCACAAAACTTTTAGCCTTTAGCTTTTTAACTTACGGGTCCCATTACTCCTTTTCAGACGCAGGCTCTCTCCTCATCCGTCCGATTATCCCAACGCCATTCCCAGTCCTTTTCAACGACAACAACCAGAAAACAAACAGAAAACAAGGGGGATGTTTGTCATAAAAGATCCTAACATCTCTATTAATTATTTATTAAGCACCGTAACTCTTGCATGTTTCTAATTCATACCTCCAAATCTATTAACTTGCTTTTTCTAAAATCCCCAGCCCTTAATTATTTGTTAATTTTATGTTAGGCCTAAATCTTCATATTTCTAATTTACACCCAAAATCTATGAAGTTATTTAAAGAATTGACTATTGCAGATAAACCTACATATCCCGTTATTTGGGATGTAAATAAAAAAAAGGACTTCAAGGGCTACAATAAAATTAAGAAAGAAGTTGGAGCCCAGCGTGAAAAAAAAACCCAAACAAAGACTTATTTATATTATATAAATCATAATGCAGAGCTGCTCAAATTTGCCAAAACAAAAGCAGAGTTTGAGTTCCTCAGTGGTCTTGAAGGAAGACGATGATGATCAATTTGGATAGGTTTTTGTGGTCGAAGAAGACTTGGGCTGGCTTGGGTTTAGGCCAGTTTGTTTCCCTTCTGATAACTTCTACTGGCTTCTCGTCTTCTGAGCTCTCAAGGCGAGGTGAATTCTGTACATTTATCTTTAAAATGAGGTTTTTTTTAATACCCAAGTTGAAAATTTTTGATTTTGTTGAAATGGGTATTGCTTGGTTTCAGGTATCAATGCTCCTACGTCTCAGTCCTTCTTGAACTATTTGCTGCTGGCGCTATTTTATGGCGGTTTTTTGATCTACAGGAGGAAACCTCTGCAGGTATTTATTTTTAAATTTCTATGTATTATGTCCTACAATAATAAATGATATTATTCTTCTATTCTAGGACAGTTCAATTCCTGAAAGTAGGTGTTTCAGCAGAACAGAGAAATTTGGTCATCTCAAGGGAGGCGTTAAAAAGTGCAGTTGTTATTGATTATTTCAGAATCAGGGCTAAACTGCAGAAACTGACTAATTGATTTTACTACTCTACTATTTCCAACTTGAGGCACCTTTTGACCTTTTTTCTTAGATAAACACTCAGAGTTTCGACGTCTGTGTATGAAGAAATAACCTAACATTGTTTCCCTTTAGATAAATATTGAGTTCCAACATCTGTGTATGAATCGAAAGAAATAATCTAACATTGTTTAGCATTACACAAAGCATTATTTGAGAGCCATAGATACTTTTCTGGAGATTATGTTGATGAAAGATAAATGAGTACTAGTATTTATGTGCAGTTGGAGGTAGTACCTTGATGACATTTTAAATATAGCACTAGGCATTTATTTGTAGTTCTGGTAGAATTGGAGGCAGTTTATTTGCTTATATCAGAGGGATGCAATATAGGAGCACTTTTCCTTCGCCATAAACTTTTGACGTGTGTAAGTACTTTGTTCAAATGGGGAAAGGGGTAAAACTTGTTCACATATTCATTGTTAAATTTTGATTCCTTATTTCCTTCCAGGTCACAGTACTGACAAATGAGGAATAATTTACATCTTCTGGAATCTATCCTTTTGTTTACTGTCTCCTACCAGACAACCAAACAGAATAATGAAGACTTTATCCTCCTACAAGAGACTTTCTTCCCCCCTCAGAATTGATTCTTCAAGAAGATAGTTATTCCTTGCATATGCTTCTTCTCTTCTTAATGTCTTTTAAATTTATATTTTTGTAAATTAATGTTCCTGCCACCATCAATCTCGTGAAAAATGGGCATATACAAGTTCAATTGTTCCATTATTTATTACGCAATCAGCAAATTGGTGATGTTTTATGATTGATACTTGAGGTTGTTGTTGAGCCATTTTTATCGTCATATAATCTACTGCACATCTGACCTAATCTTAATGGAAATATGCTTGATGAAGACGACACGGACACTGAACAAGTAGGCTTAAACACATTAATATCAGGATATTTTCATTGTCATTCAGAATTACCTCCTTGACCTTCAATCATATGTAGTTATTCCGTTCTTTTACTTTAACATTTTAACTAGTCTGATTTATGTGCAGATGCGTTGGTATTACTACCTTTTGCTTTCTGTTGTTGATGTCGAGGCCAATTTTCTTGGTGAGTACCTACATTCTAATGGATTAATCAATATGATTAAAGCATGTCATAGGATATCTTACTATATGTTTCTGATGAATTATTGTTTTGCTTTCACCAAATAGTATAGATTTATGACAACGAGATTGGGTCTAATATGTTGTGAAAACTATAATTTCTTGTCCTCTGTGATTGTAAAAGATTATATTCTCTCTACTTTAATCCAATCTGATCTTTTATGTTCAATCCAGGCATTAAGCTTATAATTACTGTTCTTCAAACTGATGTTTTCTTTTGTACAATGATCAAGATGTAATCCAGGCATTAAGCTTATAATTACTGTTCTTCAAACTGATGTTTTCTTTTGTACAATGATCAAGATGTCTAAATTTGCATTCTTTCCACAGTGGTGTTCTTCAAACTGATGTTTTCTTTTGTACAATGATCAAGATGTCTAAATTTGCATTCTTTCCACAGTGGTGAAGGCTTATCAGTACACATCTTTGACAAGTGTCATGCTTCTGGACTGTTGGTCGATTCCATCTGTGATATTCCTGACATGGCTCTTCTTGAAGACAAAATACAGACTGAGGAAGTTTGCTGGTGTAGCCATCTGCGTTGCTGGACTTGTTTTAGTTGTATTTTCTGATGTACATTCAAATGACCGTGGAGGTAGCTAAACGCTTTCTCACTCTTGATTCAAGTTTTCTTAGTTGTTCACTCTGCCTATTTCAACTGTATATTTGCTATTCAAAATTTGTTGTGTATGCTTTTATCATGCAACTGCTAATTTAAAGGCCTTTTGTCATTTGAATTAACTGTATGTTATATTAAACAATACAATACATCTCTCAATCCTCAGTGAAATAGTGGAGTTTGGTATAGGACATGTTTTTTAGAATCTGGTGGCCTCGATCTTTGTCAGGTTTAATGTTATGTCTAATATACGGATCAGATATTTATTGACCTAAGATAACAATTCTATGTTCAGTAGAAACTTTTGTTATAAAAAAGATAAAAAGAGTTTTTTTTCCTCATATTTTGGTTGCTTTCCTGATCAGGAGGTCCCAAGCCCTTGAAAGGAGATATGCTCGTGATTGGTGGATCGATGCTTTATGCAATTAGTAATGTTAGTGAGGTATGCTTCGTTTTAAAGAGCTATAATTTGATCTCCTGCGTTTTCTTCACTTTCTATGTAAAAATCACAAACCAGAACTATTTAGTCTCATTCCAGACAAGTGGGTTGAATTTAAAATTCCTTATGTCCCTTGGGTATTACAATTACCACTTATATATGAGAGATCACTAAAAAGCTTGCATAGTCGTTTTCTAGAAATTCTGGTAACTTTGTTTTATATGTAATCCTTATCACATTTGGAATCAAAACTCTCTTACTTTTGCTTTTCTGTCTTCGCTGCACATGTTCAGGGGATCTTAATTCATTAATAATAACATGAAGCTGCTCTGTATTACTATTTTGTCTTTAATGCTGCTAGCAGAACTCAAATCTACTTGTGCTATTTTCTTTAGGAATTCCTGGTGAAGAACGGGGATAGGGTCGAGTTAATGGCAATGCTTGGCATATTTGGAGCTGTTGTTAGTGGTTGTCAAATGTATCCTTTTCTATTACAATTATTGAATGGTCAGCATTGCCCTACTGATTGAGTACTCTATAGGAGACATTTAATCGGAATTTCATAATCAAGTAGAACATTCCAATATGCGATGAAAAATATATGATTAGAATCCATGTTTCATTGATAATTTTTACCATTGTAGAATATGTCTTGAGCGTCTATATATTTCTTGATATCATTTACATATGGCTAATCTTAGATAACTTGTCATCTGCTGTTAATAAGGTGATTTTTTTAAAGGTAGAACTTACCTGTTGAGCGTTCATATTTAGCTTCTTACATAAACTTATGGTTCATAAACAGTCATAAATGGAAAACATGGCTCTTACAGTAAAATAAAGTAAATTAATTCTCAAAGCCTCTTTTTCAAAGTGAAATTGTTATCCAATTTGGTGGATGAAATTTCAACTGCTGATTCAAAGTGCAATATTCCATTCTTCGTGATTATTCTCTTTGACATGATTATCCAGGTGAACCCATATAAACTCATCCCGTCATTGTAATATTTGTATTATAGCAACCTTAATTAGTCCTCAGAAGCTTTCTTGAGAGAAATGAGCTTAGATCTGTCCACTGGACAACTGGTGCGGTAAGCCACTCATGCTACGCAACATCTTTCTTTTTATTGCACTTGGTCTTTCCTTTCGCTTCTTTCTTTTATGCGCTATAATTTTGTGGTGGCTCTTCTTATGGTTCATAATCTTGTTACTTTCAACAGGTGCTACCATTTGTTGGATTTGCACTCGCAATGTTTCTGTTCTACTCTACGGTTCCCGTCATACTAAAGGTGTGTTCCTCTAACAGTTCCATGATTTAATTCTGTGACAAATGGTTTCAAAGTTCAGCTGGATGTCTTCTTTAGAGCTTTCTTAATGATAACATATTAAAATTTGTTTGGATACCGGAGAGGATGGGAAAGAAATTTAATCATTTAAGAAGCCGATCTACATGTTTGTCCTGTGAGCAAACAAAATTTGATTCATGTACCTGCTTCTTGAATCTTGATAAATATTTTTTTTAAAGAAAATATTTATATTCCTCTTTCATTTCTTTCTTTAGAGCCTTTCCACCTTAGGTTTCAGTACATTGCCAATGGCGATTTATGGATATATGCATATCTTTACTTCCATTTGAGTATCCTGCACTTACAATGTCGAGTATATTGCCAATAATATTGTTCTTATCAATCACATTTTAACACTAGTATATTCTTTTTTCTTTTTTCTATTTTTTTTTGCAAGATAAATTGTTCATCAATTTTATTTTTTTCTCAATCGTGCAGATAAGTGGATCAACCATGCTCAATCTTTCACTTCTAACTTCTGACATGTGGGCTGTCCTAATTCGCATATTCGCATATCACGAAAAGGTCCTGAATGATTTCCTCTATATCCTTAATTATCGCCAATATTATTACAAAAATATCATGAACTTTGAGCCAATTTGGTTTACATCCTTCCAGGTCGACTGGATGTACTTCATCGCTTTTGGGGCTGTTGCAGTGGGGCTTGTGGTTTATTCTGGGTACTCATGATCACTCATCTACTTTATTTCTGTCAATATCTATGGCAATGAAACATTGCTCATACAATGTGCATCTTTTTAATGCAGAGGCGATAAAGACCAAGGTGAGAGTACCCTGCATGTATCCGAGATTAGCCATGAAGTAGAAAAGGAAATGGATGAGGAGGCAGCCATCAGGGATCCAGCCCGAGGATCCTCTACGGTAGTCGAGAACATAAACTCAAGTACTGGGAATGGTAAATATCCCATTACAGTAGAGAAATAGGTGGACCGAATAATAAAGACGACGCGACAAATACAGAATACAATCATGTAAAAGACCTTGATAATGCTTTGTTGATGGTGAATGATGACAGAGGCGGTGGCAGAATTTTTGAAGAGAGAGTATGGGGAAATGTTTTCAGCCTCAGTAACAAGAAGTATAGCCTGTTTGATATCTATTATAGTAATTGCTAGCAATTCAGCGATTTTGATTTATGATACAGAATTTATGTAACTTTAGACAATGGACTAAATATATAATTGCTGCCAATATTTTTGGTTCATGTAATTCCTGCTTTCACGCTTTCTTTTTTTTTCTTCACTTTCACTGTATTCATATAAACTGTGTGATCAAGAACACTGGCAGTCGGTTTATTAGGGCTACCCAATAGTGCTAAATCCTGATACATCTAAAAATTGCTGAGTAATAGTAAGTAGAAAATTTGTAGTCCAGTTCAAACTCTAAAAGAAATTAACAGTACAATAACGCAACCATCTTCTGATCTTGCATGTGTTTATTAAAGAAAATTTTCATAAATCAGAACAATGGGTGGTAGCTCGGAGAAAATCGCTTGAGGGATTACTGATGGAAGCTCCTTTCGGTATACAGTGATACATTCTTATTGTATTCCATATATATATATCCACTAATTTGCATGCATGGGTAAGTTATATACAAACTAAAACGGAAATGGGTGACTATTTGGATATCACTTATTCAACAACGAACATTATAAAATTTGAAGGGAACAGTGTGTCATCTTAAAGAGAAGTCAAGTCCTTAACACCATCCGTATGAGTTCTCAAACTTTTCCGCTGCTGACGTGGAAAAAGCATCCGCTTGATTTTCTTTTCTGCCGCACTTTCAGACGTAGCCTGCAAAATTTAATAATAATAAATAACTCTACTTAGCACAGACATGGAAACTCGGATGAATTTGAGAATTGAAATTCATTTCAGCAAGTGAATGATGGCCATGGGTGGTGAATAAATGAAAATAGAGATTTTTCAGTCATAAAGTTTCATCTTAGCATGGAGTTTTACATTTCCTGTTGACCTACTGTTACAGATGTCCTTGGAAAACATAGCAAGATTGGATCAGAAGTTAAAGAATTTAGCAGTCAAAATAGCTACTCATATCTTGTTATATCACCAAAATTTTCAAAAGAGTTGGAATACAAAGGAAAATTAAGTAAAAGTGTCACTCCGAAATCCGAGATAGAGGAAGTTAATGCATACCCGAGCATTAAATGAAAAACGAAGAGTCTGCACTTCCATCCCGGAGGAAACTCTTACATCGAAGCCAAGACTGTCGACACCTATTAAATTTGCTCTCTGCAAAAGCAAAGACCAGATTTGTTAAACAAATATTTCCATAATTAAGAGCCACTCTGTTTAATGATCAGATGTATTAATATGAAAAATCAAATGCTTTTAAATTTTCTTGGAAACTTATCAAGAAAGCACAGAAACAGGCAACAAAAATACCAACTTTGCAGATCTTAGGTCTAAGAAACCAAAGAAGTTGGTTTCTAAGCTCCTCAAGTGTTTAAATCATGGTAAAAGTTTCGAATTAAAATTTTCATAGGCTCCAGTCTAAGTGTACATTTTGTGTCGTCACTAGATGAAAAACTCACATTCATTTGATTTTTGTTTTTTATTCACTTAAACAATACAAATAAATTTGAATGGAATGGGCCCATTTGAATGGCCTGTCTGGAATTGAATCAGAAGGATTGACTTCCAATTCCTTCAGAAGTAGCTATTCTCTGTGTATTGGAGCAGTAGAAATTAAATCCTTCTCTTTGAATTTAATGATGGACCATTCTCATTCGAATTTACTCAGTTCAAAGTTGATCAAATACTTAAATTACCTAGAAACCAAATAATGAATGAGTTTCAGTTTTCACAATAGCAAGTTATCAGTATCTATGTCCCAGTATATCTTAAACCCTAGAAATTTTTTGGTGCATGTTTCAAATTGTCCAGTCATGGTTAATGATTTGGATCCTAACTCTGCACTTTGTAAATATATCCTTATTCAAATATGCTAATTTCAACATGTCCATGTTGTTAACAGTTGATGCATAAGAAAACAGCTCAAATCATCCAAATATTGTTTTGCATCCAAGGAGACTGAGAGGCAACTGATTGACCAATTTTTCAATTTTGATGGGAATCCATGCGCGAATAGGTGGGTGTCTAAGAACAATTGAGGATGGACATTGGCAATGGCAATAGATTATTATAAGTGAGTTATCTTTCACAAATTATCTATGAAGGTATTGGAAATAGCCATTTATTAAAGGTCTTTAAATGATATCTACTAGAAACATAACCTGTACTCAAAATGACTCCAAGAGCTACTTCATAGTGAACACCACTATACAAAATGACTGGCTAAATGTCAATGATGTTGGAGCTTACTAGTTGGTACAACAAAATAAAACAGAAGGGAGAGAAATTGATGGAAATCTCATTTATGTTTGAATACTTAAAAAATATATTTTCCATTGAAATAGTTAAACAGTAATATATATAGCATAAATCAGCATTAAAACTTAAGAATACCACATGAAAATTTTACCTCAATTACTAGTCCTTTCCTTCTTCGGCAAAGAGCTTTAAGAGCCGTGCTGCATTGCATTCCCTCATTGAAACGTTTTATAATTGCTGAAGCAGATTGCGCAAGTAAATCAGGTTCAGCATCTTGAAAATCTTGTGAACTAATTGTGCTCTGCATCATTTAAAAGACTACATAAATTTAAATAAAGGAACCTTTTTATGTAGTAAAAAGTCAATGCAAAGGAACTTTATAACTTAAAAGGACAGGATTATCTTTTAACCATAAACTTCATGGGATTTTGATCCTCTCACCTACTAGAAATGTAGTGGAGGGAACATTGTGATACCCCAAGTTTAATCGCACATTGGAAGATGTGTAGAGAGTTGGAGGCTTTATAAGCTAAGTTGTGAGAGTCAAGTGTAACATTGACTAGTCAATTTTAGTAGACTTAAGCTAAATAATGTGTTACACTCAGTGGATCTCACGGTTTCCAGCTCACCAATCGGGATGTGACAAATGGTACCAGAGTAGTTAGCTATCAAGAAATGTACGCGACTAAGTGCTACATCGCATGAGCGCGGTGGGAGCCACACCTAGAGCTTATAGAAGTCACCTCTAGAGTCCTCGCCTGGTGATGATAGTGGAATAGAGCAATTATCATGCCATGATGAAGACGTCGTGTACTCAAAGGAGAGGTGATTGTGATACCCCAAGTTTAGTCCCGCACTAGGAAATGTGCAGAGAAGAGAATGAGAGGCTTTATAAGCTAAGTTGTGAGAGTTAACCGTAACATTGACTAGTCAATTTTGGCAGTGACTTGAGCCAAACAATCTGTTACACTTAGTGGTCTCACAGCTTCCAGCACCCTAATGGGTTCACGGGCCCGGGCCATGACAACCACTACATCATCACAATCATCGATTATATAGTGGAAACTATGATTAGTCTTTTGAGTGCAAATTAAGAATGAGTGCAGTGCAATTCATGGCGGTATGAGATTTAGAATGAAATTTAGAATGAACCATAACTACCCACTAGATAATCAATAGTTATGATAAAAAGTAATAGTCCCTCCACTACATATAAACAAAACATAACTAATTTGATTCACATTCATTAAGCAGATTCTGATTTCAGATGAAAATACACTTGCCTGAACACCATAGATTGAGAACAGGTCCACTGACATAATCTCCAATTTGGAGCAGTAGAAATTAAATCCTTCTCTTTGAATTTAATGATGGACCATTCTCATTCGAATTTACTCAGTTCAAAGTTGATCAAATACTTAAATTACCTAGAAACCAAATAATGAATGAGTTTCAGTTTTCACAATAGCAAGTTATCAGTATCTATGTCCCAGTATATCTTAAACCCTAGAAATTTTTTGGTGCATGTTTCAAATTGTCCAGTCATGGTTAATGATTTGGATCCTAACTCTGCACTTTGTAAATATATCCTTATTCAAATATGCTAATTTCAACATGTCCATGTTGTTAACAGTTGATGCATAAGAAAACAGCTCAAATCATCCAAATATTGTTTTGCATCCAAGGAGACTGAGAGGCAACTGATTGACCAATTTTTCAATTTTGATGGGAATCCATGCGCGAATAGGTGGGTGTCTAAGAACAATTGAGGATGGACATTGGCAATGGCAATAGATTATTATAAGTGAGTTATCTTTCACAAATTATCTATGAAGGTATTGGAAATAGCCATTTATTAAAGGTCTTTAAATGATATCTACTAGAAACATAACCTGTACTCAAAATGACTCCAAGAGCTACTTCATAGTGAACACCACTATACAAAATGACTGGCTAAATGTCAATGATGTTGGAGCTTACTAGTTGGTACAACAAAATAAAACAGAAGGGAGAGAAATTGATGGAAATCTCATTTATGTTTGAATACTTAAAAAATATATTTTCCATTGAAATAGTTAAACAGTAATATATATAGCATAAATCAGCATTAAAACTTAAGAATACCACATGAAAATTTTACCTCAATTACTAGTCCTTTCCTTCTTCGGCAAAGAGCTTTAAGAGCCGTGCTGCATTGCATTCCCTCATTGAAACGTTTTATAATTGCTGAAGCAGATTGCGCAAGTAAATCAGGTTCAGCATCTTGAAAATCTTGTGAACTAATTGTGCTCTGCATCATTTAAAAGACTACATAAATTTAAATAAAGGAACCTTTTTATGTAGTAAAAAGTCAATGCAAAGGAACTTTATAACTTAAAAGGACAGGATTATCTTTTAACCATAAACTTCATGGGATTTTGATCCTCTCACCTACTAGAAATGTAGTGGAGGGAACATTGTGATACCCCAAGTTTAATCGCACATTGGAAGATGTGTAGAGAGTTGGAGGCTTTATAAGCTAAGTTGTGAGAGTCAAGTGTAACATTGACTAGTCAATTTTAGTAGACTTAAGCTAAATAATGTGTTACACTCAGTGGATCTCACGGTTTCCAGCTCACCAATCGGGATGTGACAAATGGTACCAGAGTAGTTAGCTATCAAGAAATGTGCGCGGTGGGAGCCACACCTAGAGCTTATAGAAGTCACCTCTAGAGTCCTCGCCTGGTGATGATAGTGGAATAGAGCAATTATCATGCCATGATGAAGACGTCGTGTACTCAAAGGAGAGGTGATTGTGATACCCCAAGTTTAGTCCCGCACTAGGAAATGTGCAGAGAAGAGGCGACTAAGTGCTACATCGCATGAGCGCGGTGGGAGCCACACCTAGAGCTTATAGAAGTCACCTCTAGAGTCCTCGCCTGGTGATGATAGTGGAATAGAGCAATTATCATGCCATGATGAAGACGTCGTGTACTCAAAGGAGAGGTGATTGTGATACCCCAAGTTTAGTCCCGCACTAGGAAATGTGCAGAGAAGAGAATGAGAGGCTTTATAAGCTAAGTTGTGAGAGTTAACCGTAACATTGACTAGTCAATTTTGGCAGTGACTTGAGCCAAACAATCTGTTACACTTAGTGGTCTCACAGCTTCCAGCACCCTAATGGGTTCACGGGCCCGGGCCATGACAACCACTACATCATCACAATCATCGATTATATAGTGGAAACTATGATTAGTCTTTTGAGTGCAAATTAAGAATGAGTGCAGTGCAATTCATGGCGGTATGAGATTTAGAATGAAATTTAGAATGAACCATAACTACCCACTAGATAATCAATAGTTATGATAAAAAGTAATAGTCCCTCCACTACATATAAACAAAACATAACTAATTTGATTCACATTCATTAAGCAGATTCTGATTTCAGATGAAAATACACTTGCCTGAACACCATAGATTGAGAACAGGTCCACTGACATAATCTCCAATTTGTAGAGAGTTGAACTAGCATAACCTCTATTACCAAATCTCAATATTTTTCCATCTACACATTATAAGCATATAAAGTTATTCGAGTCTTAAAACAGAAAGATAATTAGTAGGAGATAAAAGAAAGGAGACTTAAAAACATTTAGTCACCAATTAAGTCAAAAGTTCCAGCAACCTGTTCCTCTTCTTTCTCAGATTCATCTGCATTTTCAGTAAGACAGTGAAGCTTAGCATAAATCATTATGAGAATAGAAGCATAAATAGATTTAAGGGTAAATTACGCTAAACCTCATCTCAGCATTTTGTAATACACCCAATAACTTTCAAAATCTCACTAAACCCCCACTAACTTTAGCATAAAACCCCCAATATCTTTTGGTAAATTACACTAAAAGCCCAATCACTTTCAAAATGCATTTTATGTTGTTTTTTGGTTCTAATTGGTGGGAGTTATTTGCAAAATGCAAAAACTTATTGGGAGTTTCTGCAAAACACAAAAATTATTGGGGGTTTTTGTGCGATTTCGAAAGTTATTGGGGGCTTGATGCAAACACGGAAGTTCTTGGAGGTTTAGTGTAATCTACCATAAGAAAACATCAATATAGCAACTGACAAGAATTACCTCTCCAATCAGATGAATAGCCATCATCATCCTCATGTTGAAATAACCTTCGAAGATAAGATTCTTCATCTACAAATGCAGGTCTTAGGCATCCTAAAATAGAAATTCCATTTGACGGGAATTCCATCTTTTCCCTATAGTCCGTACCCACTGACTGCATAATGGAGGAAAATAGATAAGTATCATCAGAGGCCTAAAAAACTGGAGTCAAAAGTTTTCTTTAAAAACTCTGTCATCAGTAGAAGCATGATACAATTGGCTCTAATTGAACTTAGTTCATGAATTGAGAGGGATCTATCCTATACTTTCATATTTGTCTACAATGCGTAAGATCAAAGGTCAATTAGTTCTAAATAGGTCAATATCATGGCCATAAATTATGTAAATAGTCTCCGCAAACGGGCAAACAAATTTGTACTTCCGTTGACACCCTAAAAAGTCTACAACCAATAACTAGGGGGTAAGTAAAGTGGAGACTAGAATACACAAGGAAACTAGAAATATTTAATAATAATAATAAAAGTTGTTTGTTGCCACAGCCAAATCCTTGAAATCAAGATCGTAAAGTTTCTTTACTGAAGATATTTGGTATTTGACTCAAGTAACTCAAAATGCTATTCTAGCTGGAAAATGCATTGTTACAAACATGGTATATTAAATATGTCACCAATCAACTTGTCCTGTATTATGTAACCCAATCACACATATATATTAAATATACTGCTTCCAAAAGATGAATGCTTTTTAGAACTTTCATTTTCACAAATTTGATAATAATGAAAAAAAGTAATATCTAGCACAATGTAAACCTATGAATATATGTAAAAATTATATGAAAATCCTCCCCCAACATAAGCAGGTACGTAAATAAGCTGAGAATACTTACCTTGGTCAAGCACTTTGAGAAGTACATAGGATGAACATAGCGCATAGTTTCTGGCATTCCCCATTTGATGAGAGTATCAGTTACCTCTGTGTTAACAATCTGTTGTGGTTACAGATTGCACAGGTCGCAGTTTAGTTGCAGCAATTAATGCAGAAAAATGAAGAAAATATGAAGGGGAAAAAAATCACTAACCTCATCATATTCATTCTCAAACCAGATATCAACACTAGGGTCACTGCTCAAATTATCACTATAATTGCTCCTTGTCATTCTGTTCTCTCCACCAAGAGAATTATCCTTCCCAATAAGAACTGCCTGCAAGTGAATTCAATGAGTTAACAATAGCCATGAAATATAATGTAAACAGAGAAGTTAGGATTACATTCTAACCACAGGACTACTTGCGTAGCGATCTTGTAAGATGTTTTCATCATCAAAAATTTCAAAAAACACATCTGAAAAATTAAAATACCAGTGATCAGGTGAATGACAGAAAATGTGTCGTATAGAGCACATTATGAACTCGTACCTCCGAAATCATCAATGACATACTGATACTCTGCCCATGAGACATGTTCATGAGGTTCGCAGTGTACACTTCCAGGAAATACAAGCAATGCCTTGCTATTGGCCTACATATCAGGTAGAAGCATTCAATCATAGGGACAAAACCATAATGCACATTAGTGGTGAATAGGATATATTGCAGATGAAAAAATGGATAAAACATCAAGATGAAGTACGCCAATCAAGAAGCTAACAGAATCAATCTTATGAAAATGGCTGGGCACAATACGAGGTACATATCCACGTCAGCATAAACACCAAGTACCAGACACGTAAATTAAAAGATATCATCAGTATTCAAGATATTAAATTAAAAGGTTAATGGCACATAGACCCCCTGCATTTCCTTTAGTTTCATTTTTGCAGATAGACCCACTGGGTTAAACTTTTTTTTTTCTCTCTCTCTTTTACCCTCAGATGGATTCGCTAATTTCACCATGGGGCAATATCTGCCAAAGTTTTACCAAGGGAAAAAGAGTTAAAAAAAAGAGAAAAAAAAAGTTAAAAAAAGAGAAAAAAATTAATCTAAAGGGTCTATCTGCAACAATGAAACTACAGAGGTAATAAGTTGAAAACAAAGATTCCACGGGATTTTTTATGTGCGATTAACCCTAAATTAAATCTTCTAGCACATCAATATGTCAAATACCTCAACAGTAGTCCTGGCAATCTCAGCATCTGTGAGCAGCATATCCATGTTCCTTTCGTGCCCTTTCAGATCTTCAAGAGGATGGTACCCATGATGCCCCATAAAGTTAGACGAGTCAGATGTTGATCCCGAATAATCATCAGCAGCGACCTGAACATTGGATAGAGGAATATCCTGTCCTGTGGGCGACCAGTGAGATCGCATAGCCCCAAAAAAGAGATTCCTACATCGAAAGCTAAAACAAACAAACGGATTCTTGAGTGTGTTAATAAAAGGTGTGAGAAAGAGAGGTTACTTGCATCAAAAGTAAAATTAAAGAACATATGAGTTACTTTAATGTGTGAATAGAATATGCATGTGTGTGTGAGAGAGAAAGGAGCAATTTATTGATGAAATTAATTGGTGCTCTCATCTTGACTTCATATCGGCCAATATTTCAGATATTAGCCAATACACTGGACTGAAATACTATTGAAAAATGCCGAGATATGGAATCATGGATCATATTACATATTGCTCGGCATTTGGGTTTTGATTTATAAATTACTTTTGTGTTTAAGTTTAACTCAAACCTGAAATTCATTAATCATCGCATTTTAACCCAAGTAAGTACCCAATAGCCAGCAATCATATTGTTCCATACCCCAATTCTATCTCTTCTTCCCTATTCTCTTCCTTGTGCTCACTGCCGACAACAATCAAAATTGATACTGGTGACGAAACAAGATCAGGCTGATAAGAAGAAAGCAGCCCTAACTGAAAAAGATAAAGAAGTAACAAATCAAAGAAACACAAACCACAACCAAAACCAACTATTACAAAGAAGATTCATGCCCGCCTCGTTTACATATTACGGTTGTTCCACTGTAGATTGTGATATTAGCTTAGGATTTCAGCTGCTTTTTTGTGAAGTCTAATTTCAGAATTCTTGGACAAACCTACTTGGATTACTTAGTTCTACAACATGATGAATTAAATAACTAATAGCTGATGCCCGCATGGTACTTTGCTTTGGGATTACTTGCAAATTGAATGGATAGCCTCAAGTTCATTTATGCAACTCCAAGTATTATCAAGTTAAATGAGCTAATTGAATTAATTAGAACGTCAAGTTTACATTCCCAGTATGTTGTCCGATATCTGCTATCCCATATGAAATACCCAAATAATCTAATATCTGATAGTTAAACTTGACTTCTACAGGGAAATGTAGGACTTTAGAGTCCGCTGGATTCTAGAAGAAGCCTTTATCATATTCCTTTCCATTCCGGATTTGGATCCTCTCCAATTAGAAGTTAATTGGAGAGGTCCAATTACCCTAATCATTACCGTTTATTCCAATTTTAAGGGATGATTAAAAACTACTATTGTGAAAAATACTATTCATGATTGTGGAAATCCTACTTGGCATCATATTCTCCATTGAAATTGGTGTGGACGTTAAGGATAAGGGTAAACGGACCCTCTCCAATTATCACCTAATTGTAGAGGATCAGAAGCCATTCCTATACAACATTCACTACCTCCCTGAGGTACTAGCTATGTTTAATTCTTCTGTTTATTGGAATCATTATATACCATACTTGCAGAGAGAGATAATAATTGCTTGGTGTAGTAACCTACTCTCCAAGTTGAACATCAATTATTTCTAAATGGAATTAGCTACAGGGTATATTTCACAAAACCCCCTTAACTGTTTTATTACATACACAGCCCCCTTAATTTTAAGGGGTTTATCAAAGAAGGCCCTGAACTTGTTCTATCACACTAAACCCATTGAAGATTGTTCACTTTACCTCCTAAATTAGCACCCTCAAATCTAACTTGTCGTGTTTCAGGCACATGACGAAAAAAAGGCAAAACTAACAATCATACGTAAAAAATAATGGAAATAATAAAAAAATATTGGAAGTAATAGAAGATATCTCTAACTTCAACTGCACTTCATTATGATATTATCTTTTATTCTTTCTTCATGTACCCATTCATTCATCAGAATATTCTCAAGTTAGATACGCTTTGTTTGTATTTCTTTTTTTTTAATACTGCGGTTTTGAATTTGTGCAACATTTTGGCACACAAAGACCAATGATTATATGTTTTATAATTTTTTAAAAGACATTTGTTCCGTTATACCAATGTTTATGGTCAAACAGTAAATTAGGACTTAAATAGTCCGTAATTTAATCATCCTTCTCCGATAATATGAGAAACATCAACATCAGCATCGCGAACCATGATTGACTCAGAGCAATGATAAGTGAAAACTGTCATTTGGTACTTCTTGGACATCATTGTCAACATAACCAACCTTACCTTTCATACATAATAGCTGCCCGACTAGTTTTCAGTCTTTCTAAAACTTCCCATAACATTCTTACCTGCAACTTATCTCTCCTTCAGTCTCATGGAACAATATGATATCAACGTCAATGACAAATAACACAAACGATTAGAGGAGGGTAAGAAAGTTAGTATCAGGAAAGGGCATCAATTTCATTGCCATCCATTTGCAGAATTTGGCGACCCTGCCATTGAGTCTATTAAATTTAGTATTCTACTGTTATGAGGATTGATCAAATGCCAATCAACAAAAAAAGAAAAAATAGAATATTCGTTTGCTGAGAGAAAGGAGCACACCTTATACTAGAGTTGTCGGAACTTATTCTTCGACTATAGCAGGGAGGTCGAATCCCCCCATTAATCCCAGCCGGGATTGAACAACAAAACCCCTCTTTATCGCAAAATTGGCTCCGCGAAGAGGCTGCCAACATAATTCCAGAATTACAAAAGAAGATCATCAACACAAATTTTTAACCACCATGGCTCAAAGAGAAAAACTAGAACAAAGACCATGATGACCCACATCAGATCTCAATCTCATCACATTCTGTTCGAATCCCATTTGAAGATATATCCCTAAAAAAAATTTTACCTATCTTAGAAATACAGAAATGGACAACACGATCAAAATGCTAAAAATTAAATCAAAGAGGTAAACATTTTTCTTTCCACTAATCAACCCTTACAATAAGTGATTCAGAATTTTAACAAAATATCCGAAATGGGTTTTCAATATTTTTCAAATAGGCATATCTTGATACAACAAAATCACTCCTTCAAAAAAAAATCATAAATTTTTTTTAATTTTAGTGGGGAAAGGTGGTGGATTACTAGTTTTCCATAGGGGGGAGAGAGAGAGAGAGAGAGAGAGAGAGAGAGAGAGAGAGGGAAATAAGCTCACCAGAAAACGAGGCCGATCACCATGAGCTAAGATTAATTAAAGAGAAAGGAAAAATAACCTCTCCCCTCTCTGTACTTGGCTTTGGTGGTTTTGCGCCGACAAATTTGGGGTCGTTTTGCGCAGAGGAGAACAGAACGAGAGGCAGCGACCCGAGAGCAATTTCGGCACCTGGGCCCTCTTGGGCTGTTACTGATACATTTTATTACAGTTTACGCCTCGAAGCGACTTAAAATCAGTAGTCAGTGCTCCCTCCTTTTTCCATTCGTTATATGTTCTCTTTTGAGGGCGAAGGAGTAATTATGGAGAATATTCGATGCCCTTTGGCAAAATATATCTGGAAAACTGACGGGCACCCTGTCAAGATGAGAGCATTCTGCTGGTAGCTTTGGGGGGGGGGGGAAAATCAAATCTGTTTCAATAAATTGCTTCAGAAGCGGCAGCTGCAAGTCTTTAGGTCTGTTTGATTGTTTTTTTTTTGGGGGTGAAAACCTGCCAAAATCTGATGGGTTTTCACCCCCTTTCCATCTCAAAATAAAGAAAACAAACAGCCCCTTAGTATGTGCCCACTATGCAAGTGCGAAGAGGAACGAAATAACATAATTTTTAACAGTGCGACCTCCCGATCTTCACAAATATTTCAAGGGTAAATTTCTAATATCAGATTATGGTGTGATGTAATCTCAGGAACTGACGGAGGCAACGTAGATGGTTTGATGGATCTGCTGTAGTTCCCAACACAGGAGGACTCTGAGTGTGACATGGAGGCTTACGCTTTGATCCTTGGTTTCCACCAGTTCTTCTTTCAGCATTTTTTCTTGTTTTGTATCTTGTCTTGTTACGCCATGAGTAGCTTTCTTTGTAGGGGCTGTTTGGTTCGTAAAAAAAAAAGCCCTGAAACTCATTTTCCTCCCCTGACACCGTGTTCACCTCGGACATTTCATTTTCTTGTGTTTCTTTGTGCGGGTTTGGTTCACAGTGGGTACTAAAGTTTCCAGCGGCAGAAAACTCCTCCACCTCAGTCAAATCGCTCGTCACGATTTCCTCTAAAAACGAGCGGAAAACCTAGGAAAACCTTCCTCTTGTGTCCTTTTGTCAGATCTGTAATATTTTCGGGAAATTTATTGGTTGGCTAGGGTTACCGCCAAGTCCCGCCATTCCTTCCCTGTTCGCGCATCGGATCTACGAAAGCTGGGGATTTCGTCGGTTTTTTGCCGGATTTAGTCGAATTTTCGTCGGATTTTTTGTCGGATTTGGGGAAATCACTACCTTTCTGAGGGTATTTCGTCAGATTTTTGCTTGATTTGTTGAATTTCAGCAATTACAGGTATAATTTCGCCATGTTATTCGCTTTGTTTCTTTTTCACTGCCTTTCTAATTTTTGCATGATTTTTGCTTGATTTAGAATTATTTAAATGCTATGGTGTTTATCATGACAGCAATCCTAACTTTGGAAATATGAATTAAGCTATAGTGTGTATTAGAATTATTTGTAGTTATTGTCATTTCAAGTCCTGAAAGGCCTATGAAAAATATTTGGCAGTGGCTACCAATCTTACGTTTGTGAGATTAAAAATGTCTACATCTGCACATTTATGGTTCTTGAAAATATCTACATCGAGCCCTCGTGGCTGTTTTTTGTTACTATGTCAATTCGAGCTTGTTTAGCTCTATGTTGTTTGGTTTTTTGATGCTATTTATACTCGTCATCGAGCTCCTGTGGCTGTTTTTTATTACTATGTTGATTCGAGTTTGTTTAGCTCTATATTGTTGGGTTTTTAGTTGCTATTTGTGCTCGTCTTCGAGCTTCCGTGACTGTTTTTTGTTACTATGCTGATTCGAGCTTGTTTAGCTCTATGTTGTTGGATTTTTGGTTGTTATTTGTGCTCGTCGTCGAGCTCCCGTGGTTGTTTTTGTTACTATGCTGATTCGAGCTTGTTTAGCTCTATGTTTTTGGGTTTTTGGTTGCTATTTGTGCTCGTCGTCGAGCTCACATGGTTGTTTTATGTTACTATGCTGATTTGAGCTTGTTTAGCTCTATGTTGTTGGGTTTTTGGTTGCTATTTGTGTTAGATATAGATGCCCTGCAAGCAATAATTATATATTGTAAGATAACCTATATGAATATAACATCATTGTTCAAAATGATAGTATGCTATTTTGGTTAGTATTTATCTGGTATTTTTTTTAAATACAGATAAAATCCTTAGAATGATACTAGATTATCAGAATTTCGATAGTGATCGTAATGAAGAAGAGATCTGATTAGTCTCTAACGTATATTCTAAAATGTTCCTAGTCGATAAAATGTTGAGATAGGACATCATCACTTTGGTAAACACTAGTGTATACTTTATTTGTCCTTTAGAAGGACGATGATCCATCTCTTAGATCATTGATGCTGAGACATCAAGATACAGTATACAGGTGACTTATTAGTGAATGAGTTGACTGATCAACTCACCGAGAATGTCTAGTTAGTAATTATACTTCACTGTCAAATAGAAGTTCTCAAGTGATATAGTACATAGTAGTCTCTTGACCTGAGGCATGGTACAATATCTTACATGTCAGTATGGTGTACTTAGATTTTTACCTAACCACAGTTCTCATTGAGTTGTGCATAACGATTTTTGTTAAGTGCATCCCGAGACATAAGTAGATATTAAAATGTCAATATAGGATTCGTCTCTCCCAGTATATGGGGTTGATGTCATAAGATTGTTTGATATAACTATAGCCTAGAAATTATTGGACAAGGTAAATAAGATAAATTGAGTGTCAGTTTGATCTTAAAGGTTATGAGTTTAATATCAACAAATACTAATCGAGCTACTAAGGTTTGATAGTTTTTCATACCCTAGGCTCTATAGTTTGACATGGTTTGACGAAGAGACCGGACTATACGATATTATCACGGAGTGGTTCTGATAAAATTGTGTAAGCATTTTACAGACATTTATCATAACTTATACCCGGATGATCTTTATGTGTAGCTAGCACCTCTGTTGTACTTGTGGATATAATCCACTGCCGAGTCTTAAGTTGGGCCCTAGAATCACACAAAGCATGTAATTGAATCCTATGAAATACAATTTATAGAGTTAATGTGTATGATTGATACACATATATGATTTTTACCGTATACACATAAACGAATATATGTATCGATAAAATCAGAATTCTATGTGCTTAAGAAAAGAATTCTAGTATTTTTCCTATAAAATTAAATTTTAGTCAACTGGTTGATTTTTTGGTCAACAGTTGATTTTTGGTCAACTCATTGACTTTTTGGTCATATGATGACTTATCAGTTAATGATTGGAAAATTATGAAATACCGTATTTATAAAACATCGTATTAATATGGTATATTCATTTATAAAATACACACTTCATTATACCTTGATTAGTGAGTCATGAGATGAGTCATTAAGGTGTTATGGTTTGGGAACATAGTTTTAGCACATGGTTTTTGATTCTTTATGACTCTTTGCATGACTCATGAGATGAGTCATTGCATGACTCATGAAAGTAATCATTACATTTAGATGACTCATGGCATGACTCATGAGATGAGTCATGACATATCTCACTATATATATATGAGCTCTCTCTCCTATGGAGAAATTAATGAAAAATTGGCTAAGTGGTTTTTTCCATAAGAGAATAAAATAGAGTTCTACCTCTTACTAAACTCTAGTAATCTTTGAGTAAGATAAAGTAGTAGAACTTTAAAGTACCCCGGGGTGGATATCTTGCCTTGTGTCTCAAGAAGACTTTAATTTAATCAAGCTCACTTGAAGACTTGGAGATCCACTACAATGATGTTTATAACAACAAGGAGAACGAGCTAGAGGTTGTTCGATCTACCATTGAATCACACTACGAAAGTAAGCATTCGAAGCTCTTGGTTGCTCTCTTTATATATAGGGATCATGTTAGTTTTAATTAGGATGGTCCTAGTTTGTATTTCATGCTCTCTACATGCTTAGTATTATTATACATACAGTCTTTTGTTGTGTATTGCATGTAAATTAAGCATGGGATTTCCAACATGGTATCAGAGTCATGGTTCCATCTAATTAAATCTTAACATGCACATCTAACTTATGGAGGACTTTTTCCTTGCTTCTAATTATAAGTATAGATGAAACTAGTTAATTAATACAAGTTGTTTTGTAATTAGTTATACTAGTTGTTGATTCAAAAATGTTATTTTTGGTTCATAAGTTTTTAAGAGTAAAAACACTTGTATAAATTGCAAAACTCTTATTTACAACTAGTGTAGTTGTATGTTAGAAGCATGATAGTCCTATTTGAGTTAGGATAATCCCTATGTTATTTAGTTTTCCAATTTATTGTATAACTAGATAGATGCATATTTCTTAATGTTGATTAAGCTATATGCTTTATATCAACTTGTGTGGATGTTATGTTTATGGATGATAGTGGACAACGATTCTCTTAAATTTATTGTATTGATGTAATATAGCTAGAAATATAATATTATTTACGACATCTTTCCTCCCCGAGCATGGGCTACGCCTACGGGTTTAGGCACTTGCTCACCGATCATAGGCTATGCCTACGGGTATAGGCCATTGTTCGGGTGTGGGGGGGGTGGGGGGGGGGGGGGGGTATGGTTGTTTAGTTTAGTTATTTTATTTATAGTGTTTATTTTACATCCAATGCAATATTATTATCTATCTTACGAGATGGTTTTTTCCATTATAAATAAGGTTTGCACGTCCTATGTATATGTGATTGTAATAATATAGGAGTTACAAGGGAGCTAGCATTGCAACGGGTTGCAAATTGCTTACTAAAATGTAATTAGTGTAGTTATATTTTTATTCCTTTAGTTATCCACTACCATTCATATTGCTTTTACATATATTGATATGCTAGTTGTGCCCCAATTGTAGATGTCAATACAATTGAGTGCTATATTCTGTAAAGTTTATATCTCTATCTAACTAGAGAAATAGTTTTTTTATTATAAAACTTATTCTAAACTTTGTGAGACAATTGGGTGCTATATTCTGTAAAGTTTATATGTCTATCTCACTAGAGAAATAGTTTTTTATTATAAAACTTATTCTAAATTTTGTGAGACATAGAGTGGTGAGACCGACATTAACATAGCGTTAGTGTGAAAGATAAATAAACCTAAAGCAGTTAAAAGAAATGTATTTAGAACAA